ACAGAAATGAATGGTTGCAATTACGTTCTTATCCGAATGAAAGTTAAGATTAACTTTGACAGGAGCAACTCTGATTTCCAGGAAAAGCCTAAAACCGGTCGCATCTACTAATTTAGTAATTCCACTATTCAATTACGCAAAATACACCAAATTGTATAGCAATTTGTGAGACCATGCAGGCGGTTGACGAGACCATAAATGACGAGAAAGAGAGGAAGATATTTGCGTTAACCCACTCTAACTCGAGACCTAATTACAGCGCAATAATCTTGCGAATCTTCCACGTACTTCCAATTCCAATTGAATAATTCGATTGTATTGACATTTTCGACTAATATCGTGGTGAGCTAAAAGTTTTATACATGGATTACTATAGCCATTTCAATTGCTATAGGTTTTTGAATAAATTAATAAATTTTTATTGACATTTTCAACTAATATCATGGTAAGCTAAAAATTTTATATAAATAGAGGAATTAAAACCTATTGGGTTGCTATAGCCATATCAATTTCTCCAGGTTTTTCATTGAATAATTCGATTCTATTGACATTTTCGACTAATATCGTGGTGAGCTAAAAGTTTTATATATGGATTGCTATATTACTATTTCAATTTCTATAGGTTTTTGAATGAGTTAATCGATTGTATTGACATTTTCGATTAATATCGTGGTAGCTAAAAAATTTACATAAATGGTGGGATCAGAACCTATTGGATTGCTATAGCCATTTCAATTCCTATAGGTTTTTGAATAAATTAATCAATTGTATTGACATTTTCGATTAATATCGTGGTGAGCTAAAAGTTTTATACATGGATTACTATATTACTATTTCAATTTCTATAGGTTTTTGAATAAATTAATCAATTTTTATTGACATTTTCGCCTAATATCATGGTAAGCTAAAAATTTTACATGAACGAAGGAATCAAAACCTATTGAATTGCTATAGCCATTTCAATTCCTATAGAATTTTGAATAAATTAATCAATTATATCGACATTTTCGACTACTATCGTGCTAATCGCCTAAAAATTTCCCCAAATTTCCCCAAACCCAAAAAAATAATACACGAAAGAGTTTTTTCCAAAATCTGTATCAATTACTCGTCTCTTACCCCCAATTCTTCCATCATCCGGTCCCGCCTCAAAGGCCACTCGAACTTTATATTTCCTGAAACGTTTAGTCTATCATGGCAGAACGTAATCTCGTGGTTAAAATAGAAAACTGTTTCTAAAACCCGGAGGCATACGTACAAAGCGGCGTAACAGCATTCGGTAGTCACGTAGTAGGAAGTTGGTGCGTTAGCAGGCTGTATCTTTGCGAAACGCCAGGATTAAGTGTCCATTCATCACGCAGAAGGATACAGCTTTATTGCAAACGCGACGAGGGTGCTTGAAGAGGTCGTAGGCAGTTTACTCGCAGGGTTACCGCGAATCGGATCAACACGTAGCACCATCGTGCGATTATTACGGCCCCGTGTGCCATTATTTACGAGCAGTGCCGTTCTGGAAATACCGATTCAATCGGATCGTTCGTCTCGTAAGGGCGCCCCTGTGCTCGTCTTTTATTCCCACGAAGGCCTATGACGCGGTCGGTGATCGATACAGCTGGCCTGAACATGCGAAGTTTAATAATGACAAGCCAATGCTGAATAGCTAAATTATTGATACTCGAAGCTAGAATAAGCAAACGGTATTTACTCGACTCGTGACGCAACCGTGCGTGTATGCCGGCTGCTTGCAGACCAAATGATCGAATTAATTAATAAAATCTTCAGTGTCGGTAATTCCATTGAGCCTCGCGATTATTAATCGAGCCGTAATCCGTTGGATTTAATACGCTTTGACCTTGGCGGAACGATCCTGAAATAAAATCGCACGATGTAATAAATACGATAGACGTATGACGTTGTGATAAATTTATAAATTCAACCAGCCTCCAGATGGTCTTCTGGCTTCTTCGGAGACATTTTTTCCCCGATGTTACATTGCCAATCTTTTTCTTTCTGAATAACAAGTGGCTTAAACGAAGCTCGAAGATATGATAGTCTAATTTCGTCATGAGTTACAGTCTTATGTAAAAATAGCCTTCCTCGTTCTCTATGAGGAAGCTATACCTCTAGCTATTGTTGCCTCTGAATATCCGTTAGATCGTGGGGAACCCATTTGTCTTTTTTGATTTCCTTTGTGGCTTATGGGTAATGGGAAATCATCGTACAACGCACGTCTAATTTATGCACCTAACCTATTTGTTATCGTACACTTTGATGTTCGTTAAACGTGATTAATTTTCGATTACTTATTTTTTTCTACATTTTTTCTGCCAATATTTGCTTCGGTCGTTTGGTGTAATTAATTTCAAATCATGGGCAAATTGTATTATATTATTTTATAAAATATTTATTATAAATTGACGTATTATTATTTATGAGTTGATTATTATAATATTTATTATAACTAAGCTTTATTATAAATGAGCTGATTGTTATAATATTTATTATAACCTCAAATTTGGAATATAGAAAAATCAACCAAATTTGATTTCGATTAATTATTACTCTATGATCTTATAATAAAATGATCGATAAAGTATTTATCCTGTTATTTCCGCTTTTGTAAATTCCGATAAACGTTTTTGAAATCGATTATTTCGTATAGAATTAATGTAGTATCTCTGATATTCGTAAAGATTTGTGGTATCTTCTATAATCGATAAATATAGCTGAAATTACATAAATATTATATATATTATACGAATTGACTATAAATGATTGTAATTTTGTGAATAAATTATCTATATCTATTTCTCTTCTATCAGTATTTATTACTATTATTATCTATATCAAATTGCACGATAATATAAGTATACTTAAATATAAATAAATTTTGCTATTTATTGCTATTGCTACTGCTATTTAATTCTATTCTGATTAATTCTAACGTAACACACTTGCTGAGCTTTGGGTATCGTATGAGGTCATTTTTTAAATAGATCTACAAACATTTACGAATATTTCTTCAACGCTTTTCAAAGATTCTTGGGAAAATATTTTTTTTCTGTTTAATGCACGCTTATTTTAAAAGTATAAGAGAAAATAATGTTTATTATGGCGACGAAACCGAACCGTGTGATAATATTCCATTGATATTTATGCGATACCATGGCATATTATAATGTAGCTTATCGTATGTTATGGAACAATTTTATCACGTGTAATTAGCATACTGCATATCAAGGGCAATTGGCCCATTCAAACATCAGAGTGTTTGACCTCAGCGAATTAATTAAATTTGCGTAGTTTGCATACCGTATAGGATGGCGGGGCATAATTCGGAAATGGAACGCTTCATGCCAGAATTTTATGAATAATATAATTCCCCGATAACGTAATTATTCATTAATTTATCGATCCGATTAAGCAGAGAGCAATACCTAAGAAATCTTTGCAATCTTTATTATTCTTTATTATTTATTCAACGATCTTTTATTCAAAGGCAGTTTACGTGCAGCCAAAATTCCACGTTGAATGAAGTCTTAAACGTAGAACGACACGAAGTAAGAATTACGTCATTAAAATTAAATATTTAATATATCCAAATAAAATACAAATTGCAACAATCATCGAAAAATATTGCGTATTAAACTTTGAAACTACCCAATAAGTATATCACACGTTTATCATCGACAATGATACTTCGTCAACATTCGTCAGCAAGAATTAAAATTAAACGTTAAATTCTACACGGCATATCAACGCGTGTATTTTAAATTCTGATCAAATATTGAATTTTAAAAAAAAAAAAAAAAAAAAGGAAGAAAAAAGATAAATTTCCGTCGATATGAACGTGTATTGGAGCCAAAAATGAAGAAAAAGAAAGAAAAATAAAAAGGTTGGAAGAAAGGCGAGTAACGTTGGAGAATGGTCATGAAGTTGGCAGCACGTGTCTGTCCATAGACGAAGCGCCATGATTGAATGGGGCGAGCCACGGGTTTGTCGAAAATGGTTAAAAGCTGGCTGTGGACGATCATAGATAGACACGAAAATTCGTGGTTCGCTGCGACGACGACGACGACCACGACGGCGACGGCGACGGCGACGGCGACGGCGACGGCGACGGCGGCGGCGACCGACGCGACAAGCGTCCTTGCTCCAACCACTCGCGCTACTACCGATGACGTAATCGTCGCGATACCCCGCAATCTTGGCGCCGCGGTAAACTCGTAATATCTATTTTTATCTGGTGGAAGCAGGGGCTCCGCCCCGTCTCTTCCCCCCTCGCGTACACCACACTAGGACGTACTTCGACACACCCGTGTTCCACCGCCTCTCTTCTTCCTGACTCTTAACCTCTAAATTCAGCCTCCGCGCGGAATGACCAGTCTCTCCAACTCGTCATAGTCTACCATCCTTCCTTATCTTTGTCTCTCAAACTTCTTTTTTACTTTTTTATCGTCTTACGTAAATTCTCGCTCCGACGAGCATTGGTAGCCCGAGTTCGTTCCGTGAGACGAGATTGTCGAATTCGATCGAAATTATGCAGCGACAATTAAGCGGGAATTACCTACCGCCGAGAAGTCGGCAATAAGTTCGCGGGTCCGTTGAAAGATGGCGTAAACATGTTCTGATCGGGAACAGGTTAGGGTAGGTTCGGACGCCACATCGCGGCGACACGTTAATTATAGCAAAAAGTTGCGATCGATTTATTGGTCAAGCCGTGCGTCCTCGGTAGTGTTTTGCATATTTAAAAGCGTTTTCGATGTTCGTTTTTAAGAATGTCTGATAAAACGGCGCCAATCAAGTCCACCTGTAATACATCCTTTTATCTGGCCGAGAATATTCGATGTCCCATGAATGTCGACCGGTGTCATTAATCATCGGTTAAAACGAAGCAAATAAATGCGATTTGGTCAATTTTTCTGCCGATTAAACTCAGTATCAGCGCCAGTTAGACGAGCTATTTACGGTGTATTTTATATGAACTGTAAGAATCGAAGATGGGTACGTGTGTATGCATACTTTTATTAAAAACAATATGGTAGTCGTAAAAATTAAGAATCGGATTTTTCTATATTTAGAAATGTTTCAGTGTTCCTAAACCAACTATCGTTGTCACGTATCGTTTCAACGTGTGCTACATCTGAACCAATGCAATTTATAGGTTAATTTTTTGTCATGGCAGGTCTCGATGCGTAGTAAAAATAACCTCAAAGCGTATAATTTGTAATTTATATTTTATTTATATAACGATTCGTGTTTATAGGAAAGTTTCGTAGATTTTGAAGTTGACGAGTTGAAAGTTCCGTCGTTCATCGTATCCTTTCCCATAAATATGTGTAACTTCTGCCTTTCTGCGTCGCAGCAGATTCTTTTTCCTTTCTCCGTCTACTCTCTTGTCTACTCTCGAATCTGGCGCCGTCGTCGTCCCCACGACGGTCGGCGAGACGCGTGGGACTTTCCGGCGACAAGTCCTTTATGATACCGCTTGTACGCCCGCAGCCTCTCACCGAATGAACACTTTTACCAAGAAAGAAAGACTCCTCGTTAATGACAGATCTCATCTCGTTTGGAGGCATGCCTGGTATCGCGTTTCGTGGAAGTTCTTCATAAAAACGGCAGATTAAATTCTTTGATGCCCACGCTATCGAGAACTTTCAATTAACAAACTTACAGTCGTTGGATACAAGTTCCTTCGGGTTCATAAAGAGAAATTAACAATAAAAATGCTCGTTATTATTAAAATTAAATCTTTATGGCGTATATATTCATCGTGAAAATGTACTTAATTTGCATATCGTGTCGTTAACGTCATACTGTTTTTATAAGTAAAGATAAATGTTTTGAAATTAATATTTGTTTATGTAGTGATCAGGTATAATGTCGAAGATGATTATCACCATATAATTTATGATTTTTTCATCTTGAAACACATAAAAGTTTTAAGTGATGCATTAAATTATATTTGTATTTCACATAGTAGTTATTAGAATTCATAATAATAATAATTATGTACAATTTATGATAATTCTGTTTATATATTGCAGGTGAAACAGGACAAAAGGAATGGTGTACATTAGCATATTGGGAATTGGGTGGTAGAGTAGGTCGTCTTTACCCTGTGGAACCTTCAACAGTAAATGTTTTTGATTCCCTCCATGATGGTGATGGCCTTTGCTTAGCAACACTGGCTGAGAATCATGTTGCACCACCTGCAGTCCAAAGAACAAGAAGCAAAATTGGCCTTGGTAAGATCTTTTCTTATTACTACAAGTATATTAGTTGTAATGGACTGTAATATTAATGAAATAAAGTAAACATGTACTAATTAAAGAAGAAATATTACTGAAAATTCAAATGATAAATTATTTATTTGCAGGTTTAATGCTTAGTCAAGAAGCAGATGGTGTGTGGGCATACAACAGATCTGAAAGCCCAATCTTTGTGAATTCACCCACTCTGGATGACCCGGAGTCTAGAACACTACTTGTCTATCGTGTGCCTCCAGGCTTTTGTCTGAATATCTTTGACCGTACCAAAATTCTACAGCTTCCATATGGCAGTGGTACCACAAGAACGAGCAATCAGGCTACAGGCTTTGCCTCTGGTCCTGTTGATATCAACTCCGTCCGCATCAGCTTCGCCAAAGGCTGGGGACCCAAGTACTCAAGACAGGAAGTCACCTCTTGTCCATGTTGGCTCGAAGTACTCCTAGCACCATGCAGGTGATCCCTACAACTCATTGTGAAGGTATACAGTCTCGTCCGTTTGCGCCTCTTCTTCCTCCTCGTCGTCCTCCAAGAGGACCGATCTGTGAAACTGACGCAGCAACGACGAAGCTCCGTCCCAAAGGCTGCCAACGGATACTCATACGACGTGGATCGCCGCCAGCAGTCTTACCAAAGTACGCCGCCATACACCCAGGAACAGCGTCGTTTTATTAACAGACAAAACGAGAATCATTTGACAAGAGCGTTTTATATTATTGTGCCTACGAGCGGAGGACACACAGTTTGTACGTGGTACTCGATTTTCATTAACATCAAAACTCGACTATATTGTATCGTAATAGTCTTCTGGATTTATCAATGATACTGTTGTACTTTCTTGATAATGTTAAATGAGATTTCATAAAAAGTGAAGCGGAAGTTTTCGCTAGGTCTAGTCAGTGGTATTTAACGTTTTTAAGCTTGACGTTAATGTGTCTTGCATTAAGAATAACATAATATAAACAACATTAACTGAAATCATGGAAAGTGCGAGAGTAAAATTGACGTGTCAATAAAGTCGTTTTCTTTATGGTATTGATCATAAGTTTAATATCTATACTGTCTGGCCATGTCCTCGTTTATGATTAATCATTGTACTGCAAGGAAGCAGAAACTTGGGCTTCCGATAAGGTCTAGTCAATGGTGTTTGAGAGTATGAAAAGCTCGTTGGTTGCATGGATTTAAAATCCATTTAAATTATCAAGAAACGAGAACACTGCCAACAGAATCAAAGGAAGTACTTAGCGTTTTATGTTACCTTCAAAAAAGACTTTTACTTTAACGATTAAAGTAACAATACTTGTAGTATAAATTTCCTGCTTTGATGTTAAATTTAATGGAATGCGAGGAAAGATTTGTTAGTGGAAAAAATAATCGAAATTCGCTCGATTTAGAGATACCTTTGTCAGCTCATTGTCTATCTGATTGAGATCTACCGAAGGTTCCTAACTAGTCGATGGCACAATTGGAATACGTTACAACTTTTAAGAAGCTCGCAAAACTTTTCTCAACCTTTTCCTCAATTTTCTATATTGTAAGTCGGTATTTCAGCGTTAATTTGTATAATCTCGTAATGATATTTCATCGATATTCAAATGTCGTGTACCACGAATACTGTAGTTGTCTCCGATCGTCGTTCGGTGCTGTACATACATATATGTACATACACTGTGCCTTCCCAGCTTCCTTCGTGGTGCAATGCACGAGTGATAGAACGAATGTGTGTGTGTGCGTGTATCTAAGGAAAGTGAGAGAAAATGAGAGAACTCCGCGTGCTAGCTACGTTTCGCACCAAAATGCCCGAGAGCTTCGTACTACAGTAATACGATACTGTGATAAAAGTTCGAATCAGGTCTCTTTTTTCCTTCCTTTTTTTCAGACGCGTTTATGAAGCACCAACGATAAAAAGCAATCAATCTGTTAAAATGTGTATATGTACGCAAAGAGACAAACGTATGCTTAATAAACAATAGTCCATAGACTCGGATGTAGAGGAAATGTTGAATTTATATAAAAATACTGTTTTTTCGGTTAATTTTGTACAGTCTTGAGAAATAACGAAATTAGTGTAAGTGAGTGGAGTTTTACAAATTTTATCGCGAAAGTCTTCATTAAGATCCGCCTCCAAATCCGAATGCGTACCAGCGTAAGGGAAAAGAACACGTGTATTGCAAGTCAGCGGTTTGCGCACAGCAAAAGTCGAAAACATGACTGTTACGAAAAGAAAGAATGTATGAAAAGTTCAGAACGATGATGTTATGTACGTGCATACGATGTAACATGTACCACCAGTCATACGTATTCATTCATACGCATACGCAACACAAGCATCTATAAAACACAATCGACTGATCGAGTAGTTTTTTCTTTTTTTTCTTTTTTTTTTCTTTTTTTTTTCTCTTCGAGCCGTTAGTTTTTTCGTACAACCGCTTTTATCGGTGTAAAAGCGGGCACATATGGATCGTGATCCATTGCGATACGATTTCGTGTGACACGCCGAACGATATATTGTGATGCGTATATTGTCGCTTAAATGTTATATATTAATGTGTATACATATGTATACAGAAATGTTTATAGGTAGCTAGCTATATCTACTGCAACGGAGTGATTCCCAGGCCTGTATGCGAGATTACGAAGCTGGCACTCTTAGGAGTACATGATATCTATCTATAACGTCGTTCTTTAAAGTACCGTTAAGCAAGCAATGTTAGCCTCGGTAAAACTTTTGAAACGACTGTAACTATGGAAATGTATTCTTGGAACGCCCTATGTATAATAGTATTGCATACAGGCCTAAGAATCGTCGATGAAAATTGTAATGACAAGAAGGAGTTTTGTCGAAAAGTCGTCCATTTCGGACAGCTACGTTGCTTTTTATAGTCTTTTTTTTTTCACGGCTCTAACTTGCTGTTATAGTCGAGGTTGGCTCATCGCTGGAATTGAACCAAACGCGTGCGGTCAGTCTGAAAGCGATTTTTCGAAACGATCTTCGGGTAAACGCGGAGCGCAACACGGCGATCCATATAATTTGTACAAATATTTTATTTTCTTTCGTAAAGATTCGATTAAAAATAAGTTTACTTATTTTGTCAATTATATAACCCCCATTTCGCAATCAGAAAACAGGCATTCTACATACATATAATCCTTGAAATTTCTTTCGTTATAAACAAGCGACGAACGATTTGGTCGTTTCCGCTCTTTATAATTACCAAGACACAGTCGTTCCCACAGCATTATGCCGAAAAGGATGTATAGTTAACGGTGTACTTAACGATATTTTGTAATTGATCGTATGCAAATCTAAATTTTGCTAAGCCCGGTCATAAGTAGTCTCGTTAAAATTAGATGACGATTGTTAAAAAAAAAAAAAAAAAAAAAAAAAAAAAAAAAAATACATCTTGACGGACGAAATATTTATTCATACTATTCTCAAAATAAATAAAACGATTAGTTTGTATATAAAAAGAAAGTGAAAGTAGCATCTTTTGATACCTACATCTCGATTTACTGAACGAAAAATCGATCAATCGTTCGTTAAAAATAACCTCACTTTACGTCGTTCATTTCTCACTTATTGCACTAATTATAATATATTGTAAAGGTTGTTTATTATGAACTAACATCTTGAATACCATAAAAGATTATCGTATTATCAATAGAACACCGATTAAATCGTGTTTAAAAATATTTCCTCGAATCAATTAATCGATGAACATAAATGATATACGTATTAGCAGGGTGAGCGACCTCTTTAAAGCGAATAGTTTTAAATATTTTGACAGTTTCATTTGGTACGTCAAGGCGTCAACATGGTTTTGAAGTAGTAGTACAAACAATTTTTTTTCGTTCATTATATCATTTCGTTTTCGTCATATTATGTTTGTTCTGTTCCATTCTAAATTTAACATCTCTTTCGTATTCCTTTTCGCGGAATCAGCTGGTCATATATTCATGTGACAAAACATAATGCAGTTAGTGTCAGTGCTTTGAAAATTATATTCGGTCATCTATCATCGGTAGAACTCAACGAGTGGCGTTCAACTAATTTCGTAAGTATTCTTATGAAATTTTGAGGGCACATACATACGTTATGCTATTTTCTAGTTTAACATGCAAATTTTATTATTTTTTGGCGCCGCTCATTTTCATATCAACTATGTCATTGTGTTTAGTTAAAGAAATGGCGGATATTACGTCACTTCATTTAAACGTTTGAAGATAATTTGCAATTTTTATCAAATTTTTTTTTGTTGAGGAAACAGTGGATGATAGGGTCAAATAGCTAACCTAAAAATTTATTTATAATTACTATATATATATTTTACTCACTATATGTTTATATATTTATAGAAGGAAACAAAGCAAACTGATCATTTGTCAGAGTATAAATGAGGAACTTTATAAGTAGTTTTTAAAAATTAATTACATAATTTAAAATTTTATCACATTTATAAGAGACTTGTGTAAATTAGCCAAGGGTCCTCGATAATTAAAGAATCTACCATTTTTATTTTTCGATTATTGAAATAGGGGAATAATTTTTTTCAAGAACTTATTATGCCCGATTACGTTTTATAAAATAACCCGCGTTGACGACAGCCATCTTTTTTATTCTTCGCGCCACAAATTAATTTATAACACGAAACTTAATAGTACGTACATTTTTAATTTTCATTCAAATTTACTTTTAAAATTCGAAACTACCGATACTTCCGTCAAATTTTGTCCAGAAATCGTACTTTTGGAATTATATAACTAAAATTGTACAATAAAATTTCGTTATCATACGTATTGAAATTAAATTATCTACATTTGTAGATAGCTCTAATCGACTAAATTCGAATTCTGCGCGAAGCGTGTGAAGTTCCTCGTAGCTTTTGTAGACGACATAAAGCAATACACGGATTTAACGAAATATTTATGAATATTTAAACAATGAAAATATGTATTTTAATGTGAAGCATACGAAGATATAAAATTTCAGCGTTAACTGCCATGCTACTCGTATTTGACCACTTTATCTCCTCTCTGAAGGAAATTGAAATATCAAAAGAAAATTTTTGATATTTCAATTAAATATTTGTTGTATAGAAATATTAAAAAATTTACTCGTAATGCTATAATGGTGAATAACAAAAATAAAACGATACTTTACAAGGTAGCTGCAGGTACAATTATATAGCATGTAACGCTTCTCAAAAGTACACATGCATAATGGGCCAAAAATCATGGCGTGACGCAAAAATGGAATATGTCTACCGAGAAAAAAAAAAAATTTTCAAATTATATTTTATAGACTACATCCAAATTTCTTATTAATAAATTTTAGTTAAAAAAATATTTTAAAAGAATACTTATTTTTAATATCTTTTCACAAAGATTATAAAAATTGTTATTAACATAAATTAACAAATAAAGATATTAGAAATAATAATTCTGAAGAAAAATAAAATCAAATAAGAATTTTTTCTTGAATTAAGTCATTCAAAAATAAATTAGATGACCACTATGTTTCTACTTTTTTAAAATTTTATTTCCAAAGTACTTGATTCATGCTAAATTCTTAAGTGTATAATAAATTTCTACCTGTTGCTCTATACATTTTGTAAATAAGCAACTCAATTTAAAATAATATATTTTTAAATTAGAAATAACTGTAGTTTCCTAAAAAAAAATATATATATATAATAAAATTGGCACGTATATCAATTCGTTCAATCGAAGATTTTCGAATGAAATAAATTTCGAAGAACAATTGCA